TCTGCACAGAGGAACAATAGCTTTCCGTTGCACAAAGGGCTCTCCCACCCTGAATTCAGGCCGCAGTGCCTCTTGCTCTGATAATAGCTTCTGAGAGGATTTTGTGATGCAGAGAATTAATACACGATTATTTCCGCCTGACTTCTCTCATTTGTTAGAATTCTGTGGCAAATTCCAAATTAAAAATAGTTCAGTTAACAGCTTTAAAAAATACTTTTAAAATATTTTAAGACACCCCCTCCCCCATGTTTTTAAGTTGGATCACTTGGTATGGCCTGAAAACCTACAAACGTTAATCAGCTGTAAAATGATAGTTATTATATTTTAGTAATACATTTTAGTAAATTTAGAATGAAATTTCCAAATAATTCTAAGAGGATTTATCCAGCAAACCAAAGGTAAACTTGTTACAGCACTCAGAAATGGTCTCTCAAACAGACTTCCAAGTTTTAAGAGAAAAAAGGTATTTATAATTTAGTAACATAAATGCAGACAAACATAGGATGAGTCTGGGACTCAAATCTGATTCCTTAGAAATGATACAAATGAGAGCATCAGCAGTGTTAGAAGTTTAAGTAACTGGCACTGAGCACCTGTGTCCTTGGTCTTTATGGCACATAGGCGACTCACAAAATGAGCTGCTCCTGTTAACTGGTTACATCACCCAACCTTGGAAAAGGACGGAATCTGGCAACCTGTCAACACATATTTACCATAAACTTTGCTGCCTGTGTGGCTGCATCAGCTCTCACAATTCAGTTTGGGTATAGAATGTTCTTTTTTCTTTTCTTTTCTTTTTAGCTGACCACATGGACAGCTAAAAAAGGTTCTGAAGGCATTTTCCCATCAATGGTTCAGAAGGGCATGTGATGGACACCCCATGCACCTCCACTTATGGGTACCATCAAAATAATTTAAACTGGTCAGGCCAGTGTGCAGATTCTGATTGCTAAGCCAGCTCCACAGATTGTCTCTGTGGTCATATAGTTATTTTGAATCACAATTTTTTCAATACTGTATATTCTAAATTTGAGGAGTTGCAGGTGCAGATGGTTGAGAGAAAGAAATCTGCAATATTGTACTTCAACTTACTCTCGAGATAAATCCAACCTGCTATAAAAATTGACTTAATCACTCATGATCGTTTTTTAAAATTAGGCTATTCCTGCATCTGAGAACTTAGCGCTGAAGTGTGCCTATCTGTGCCTCTCCCCCACCTGGGGACGCACAGATACCCCCTGTAGCCTGTGTCTCTGGCCTCCTTCTCTATCCTCCTCCTCCTCACTTCTCCTGTTCCAAACTTTCAGTAAATCGAGCTGCCGCTGTACAGAGGGGGGGTGTTCTGCTTTTAAAAGATGCCTGACTGTAAATGTCAAAGTCATAAATATTTAAACATCATTTTCTCTCCATTTCAACTCAAGACTGATATGACGCCTCTAATTAGTCTGAGCTCTCTTCAGGGGGCGTGGTTCAGCCTTGGGGGGCCGGTGCCCTTGGGGAAGAAGGTGCTGGGGCCCACCAAAGCCACACCTGGGGCAAGACTGTGCCTCAAACTCCCTTTTAAACCAGTAGCAGACTCATTTCTTTTAAAGGTCATGGCTAGCAGGAGTTTTAAGATTTTTTAATGTAACTCCACAAAAAGGAAGAAAGTCAAGTCATTGTAAAGTTACTGACACTCTGTCACTATGCCAGCAGGGCAGTCCACTACCTCATTTTAAAAAAAATAGAATTTCCTTAAATCTTCGTTTCTTCCGGGATTCCTAAGACCTGACCTGAAGCTCAGCGCTGGGTGGGACACTTGAAACTGTCCTGGGCCTGGAGGGAAGACCCCCTTTTTCAGTTTCTTCTGCAGTGCCCGCGGGCCGGTCGTTTCCCAGCCGGGCCCTGGGATCCAGCGACTTCTACCTCAGGCTAGTCGATCCCAGTCGGTCCCTTGATCCAACATGGCCCCCTCCCCCGCAGTCAGACCCATCCTCGCCCTCAGCCCCAGCGCTGACTCCCCGGCTGTCCAGGCCCCACAGCCCCGAGCTGCCGCCCTCAGGGCCTTCCCCGTCCTCTTCGGGGCTGCAGAAGGGGCCTCCCAGTGGAACGGCTGGAGGAGGTGGGCATGGTGCGGCTCCCTCCCAGCCTGGGAACGCAGCCACCTTCTCTGCGGGGCCAGCGCAGGCCCAGGCAGGGGGATCTGGGCGAGGTCAGTGACTAGGCCTCCTTCTCCTCCGGGAATGCCTGGGACCCAGCGGGGAGCCGGGAGCCGGCCAGGAGCTCTCTGAGCAGTCGCTCTCCTTGACATTTTTCTTTGACCTTTGAGTAAATCCCAGCGCGCCCGGAGAGGCCTCGAAAGCACGCTCCGTTCCGGTGCCCCGCGGGCCCAGCGCATCGAGGGTCCCAGCGACAGCAGGTGTCCGGCCTGAAAGCCCGACGCTGGCTCGACCCCCGCCTCCCTGGGAAGAGCCTCCGCGGATCCAGGGTCCCTCTTGCCGAGAGCAGGCCACTCCTCCTACTCCGGCCTCTGCGCGTCCAGCGCCCTCACCCGGCCCGAGGGACAGCGGCCAGCGCCTGTGCCCCTTCCTCGAGGAGCTGGAGCGACGGCCGCACTGCGCCTCGGGACCCCCGCACACCTGCACCCACAGCCTGAGAGGGTCCGGGATCCATGAGGCGCGCGTGGGCCGTCGCTCGAGTGCCACTGACGGGTCCACCACACACCGCTGGCCCCTCAGAGCCAGGGTGGTGACTGCGCGCGTGTGGGCCTCGTCTGCGTCGCGGGGCAGGAAGGTTCGAGAAGTCCGGTTCCCGGGCGCCATCGTCCACGTGGGCAGCGGGGCCGCGAGTCATCTGCGCGCTGGGGCGGGAGAGGCGCGAGGTGAGCGCTGGCTTGGCCGGGATGGGGGTGGAAGGACGGCGGGCGCCCCCTCCGCCCGTCGCGCCGCTTCCTTTGTTGTCCCTGTTCTGTCCGCCAAGGCAAGGCGGGACCTGCGGGAGGCTAGGGGCGCGGGCCAAAGGCCAGCCCCGGGAAACGCCCTCCCGCACAGGTGTGGCTCTGGCGAACTCGGACCTGGCCTCAGTCCTGGCGCCGCGGGGATCCCGGGTCGCGGCGCTGCTCCCCGCCTGGGTCCCCGCCGGCCCGCGCGCTCCGCGATCCCTCGCGCCGCCGGGGAGGGCACAGGGAGGGGCCGCCGCCCACCCGGGAGATCCAGCGACCGCGCGGGGGCCGAGGAGACCCCGGCCGTGGGAGGCGGCGCGAGGCAGGCGCTTTGGGTTTAGCGAACGGGCTCCGCGCGGGGGGCGGGGCGGGGCGGGGAGGGGGCGCGCAGGGACCCGGTGGGCGGACTCCGGCCGCCTCTGGGGTGGGTCGTCGGGCTCTGGAGTGACTTCTTTCTGGAAGAGGCTGTGTGGGCCCGAGGGAGAGGGAGGGGAGAGGAGACGGGGAGGGAGGGAGGAGGACGGGGTCTCCAAGCGGAGGGCGACCGAGCGCGCAGGGACCCAGCGGCAGCTGCAGGGTCCGGGCCAAGCCGGGTTCGGGCCGTTCCCTCGGTCCCCGCCCGCCTTCGCGGGTGCCTCCCCGCACCCCGGGCCTCCCCTGCTCCCTCCACCCCCTCCACCCCTCCTTCCCTCTCCCGGGCTCCGCCGCCTCCCGCAGCTCGCGAACCTCGCGGTCCTCCTCCGAGCGCGCGGCGCATCCAGGCAGGAAAATCCGGCGTCTTTTCTCATTTAACCCGCGTTTCCATTAACTCAGTCCCAGCACCAGCTAATCCGCTGCACCGAAGGCAAAAGGAGGCTAATTAATGACCAGCTTTTCCAGTCAAGACCGGCGATAATTGCTTTGGTGGCCTTTATGATTACAAGATAAAAACGGGCCCGGCCTGACATAAGAGGCACTGTGTACGCTGGGAGACGGGAGGAAGTGAAGAGCTGGGAGGCTGAATACGGAGCAGAAAATTACTAATAGAAGAGAGATAATGAATAGGCCGGCCGGGCATTCATGGGGAAAAATCCATTTTGTTACCACGCGAAATTAGGTGGTGGAAAGGAGTTTGCTAATTGTTCTCATCTTGTAGCAGCCAGGACCGAGGCCGGGCGTGCTCCCCATTCATCCCCGGAGTAATTGCGGAGGGCGCGCGGTCTTCGGGGCGGCCTTCCCATTTTCCTGCCGCGTCCTTAATTGTTGCTAATATACCTTCTAATGAAGCTAATGAGGGGACAGCCGTGCAGCTATTTGCACGTGGAGACAAGTGAGATGCACCGAAAGGCCTTTCTCGTACTTTCACCACCAACACCTCCTCCCCGAAAGAAGCAGGGAGAATCTGCAGGAGTTTCCTCGCTGCGACTTGAACTTGCAAAGGCCCTGCACTCCCTGCAAGGAAAAGTACTTAGGTGCCAAGTGCTGTGTCTGGGCCAGGCCTCTCCTAGAGTCCCTGGAGCCGGTGGATTCCACCCGTGCTGGCCTTTCAAGGCAGGTGGCTCCAGTCCCTGACGTGACAGGGAGAATGTTCACCTGCAGATGCACAGAGGCCGCCCCACGCTCCTTTGTTGCTGAAGATGTGCCGGACTTGTGTGGCTACCTGAAGCCGCAGAAGGCTCCAAGCCGGCCTGCCCCCCTCCTCCTCCTCCGCCTGCCTGGCCTCCCCCAGTACCCCCCACACTCATTGTGCAAGCTCTGGACAAACTGCTGTGCCCGGTTAAAAGTAGGGATGGATACTTTATTTTACATAAGGTAGCAAATTAGCTGTCAAATGCTTTACACAAATTTGAAAAACAGCCACCACTGAGGGAAAAGTGATGCCCGTGACTCTCCTTTCGAACACGCTGCGATCCACGATGTACTGTTTTCAGGTGACTTCTGCTCTGACGGGGGCTGCTCCGCAGGCCCTCCCATTGTGGCCCCGGCGTGGACACAGCGTCCCGTGGGGTTGAGCTTTCCACTTTCAAGGTGCCTTTGGAGAGGTGTGTTTAGGAGGTCATGCTGTGTCAGGAGCTAACATGCCCCTCTCCTTGTTCTGCAGAAAAGCAAGTTCAAGTTCCTGCCACCTCAGGCGGAGCAAGAAGACTCCACCAAGTTCATTGCGCTCACCCTGGTCTCCCTCGCCTGCATTCTGGGCGTCCTCCTGGCCTCCGGCCTCATCTACTGCCTCCGCCATCGCTCTCAGCACAGGCTGAAGGAGAAGCTGTCGGGACTGGGGGGCGACCTGGGTGCAGATGCCACCTCCGCCTACCAGGTAAGAAGAGGCTTTTTAAAAAGTGGTATATTGGATTTCTCAGTTGAGCAGACAGATGATCACATTCATTTCTCATCCCTCCTCCACTCACAGCAGTTGCTCATTTATTCATAGTTGGGGTCTTCTGTGATGGCAGTTTGGAACTTCTCATCAGCATGCATGTAAATTCCTCTCATGCAACCTCAGCACTACAGCTCTGTTTTAACCTGCTCTTCTTGGATAGTCTCGTGTTAGCTCTGAAAGTGTGTTGTTAATTAGACGTTTGGAAAAAGTGCGATACATGAATGGTGTTACCTGTTACCCCAGTGTGACCACTGCCAATGAAAAGTGCCAGGGCTGCGGGATCGGTTGGTGTGTAGATGTTTGAAGGTGTCTCTAAACTCATCAGCTTCCTCGGGGTCTTACAGGAAAAGTTCCTTTTACCTGCTGGGGTGCCACTTTGTCTTGTTACCCCTGAAACCTAATGCTGACCAGAGGGAGGGTGACCCATGCATGACCCTGTGACGGACACTCTCTCTAGAGGCACCCCAGACACACCTGGAAATGAGCTGGAAACCAGGGAGGATGCAGGGAAGGCAAGTTCAGCCCAGGTCAGGCGTTTTGGGACGTTCTGCAGCACACATTTCGAATTTAATATTGTTCTGTAATGAACAGAGGCCTTCAGTTTTATCAGCAGTACAACCCCAGAATACGTATACCAGTCAAAGCATTTGATTCCTTTGCATATAAAATATCATTTAATTCCAAGAAGAGATTCCCCTTTGGGAAGGTAAGATGACTCCTTAACCCCTGTTTTAAAAGTTTGGTCAGCACATGTGTGCAAGGTTGCCTCACTGGACCGGATCCTTCCTTTCCTCTCGTCACATGAGTGCAGTGTGTAATGTGTCCTGGAAAGAAGTCACGTTTACAATCGCATGTAAGGTAAACATGATTCCATCATCAGAGTTACATGGGTGGGCTCTCCAGCTCTCTCCAAAAGGCGCCCTCCGGCACCATGCCCTCCGCCACCTGAGCCCCTTGGAGCTGGCTTTCCTGTGCTCTGCAAGCTCTCAGGACCTTTCCCCACACAAGGAATTTGCAGGCTCTCTTTGCTTAAAAGAGACCCCGAGATAGCTTTTCCTCCCATTTCAAAATTTCTGGTATTTCCACTGAATGAAGGAAGCCTCTAATTTTCTGCAGAGGGTCACCAACCCGGTCAGGACGATCTTTTTCTTATAAAGAAATGGCAACTTCAAATGTGTTGAGGATGGCATTTCAGTTGCAGTGCGTAGCTTTGCTTCAAAGCAAAAGGAAAATCACTTTTGAAGAAGCGGCCTGAAAAAAATGTCACAAAAACGAGTAAGAATTTACCCAGAAATTTCATTGAGCAAGACCTTCAATGCAGGACGCCGGGTCTTCAGGCCAAGTCTGTGTCGGTACATAAATAAATTATCACATCAGTTCTGTTCCGTGTGTGAGAGACGGAAGATCATACAGGCAGAGATTTTTAGAAGGCATGGCACCCTTTGATATACTTTGAAATTCAAATATAAAATATTGATAGAATGGAAAGGTTGGGCTTGCATGCGGAAATGACTAATTTAAAAAAAAACTGCAGGTTGAAAATGCCTACTTAGGACTGAGTTTGTGATAATTAACAGAAAAAAAAATGCCTTCCCAGTGACAGCTCTAATTAATAGTATCTGTAATTAAAATCATGCCCTTCCAGCAGGAAAATTGTTTGAATTTCTTGGAGTGACCTTTTTGCTGTTCCTCCTGAGGGCATGGTGGTTAAGTTGATATTGATTTTATAATGAGCTCTGGTTTGTTTAATAAGAATCTGTAATCCAGACAATAAATGAAATGTGTGCTTTTCTTCAATCCAGATTAATAAAAAGGGAAAAAAATAAAACTTTTTTCTTTAAAAATGTGATGTAGGAAAATTTGGAAATGAAATAAGTATAAAGACTTCTTGGTGGAGCCAGCTTTGAAATCACCACGAAATACCCTTTGGGGAGGAACTCTGATTAAAAGTGGGGTTTGCCTCATCACAGCGGAATGTTTCCCGGTGAGAAAGTTCTGGTTGTTGAGCCATTGTGTTGTGATTTGTGTTTTAGCGGAGCAGGACTCAGTGATGAGGATGGGGACTGCGTGACTTTGCTTTGAATTTAGCTGATAATGTATTAAGGACTCAGACAATTGCGGTTACAAGGAGAGGATATTTACTCTGGTAAATGAAGCGGGTGGTAATTCATTAATGTATCCGTATCTCACTTGCGTTTCCTATCACATTCAGGAGTCCCCCATGAAGTTGAGAAATCTGTTTGAAAAGTTTTTTAAAATGTTGCAAACATAAAACACACCTCAGGAAAGGCGTCTCGTTGCCTCAGTGTGCTTACTCTGGCTCACACCTGTGTACTCTGGCTCACACCTGTGTACTCTGCTGATTCTGTGGTCACGGTGAAGGTGTGCATTGCAGTTCTCATCACTGGGTTACGAGGAAAATGGAGCCATTTGACATCATGCTTTATTTTATGGGGACATGATGGAACTACTCAATTCACTTTCTTGAAGCTTCTGAAAAATAAAAAGATTGTTGTGTAAGTCAGGTTAAAATAAGGAACCTAAGAGAGAATGGTAGGTGGCAATATAATAAGCTTTATTAATATCAGAATATGAAGTTACCCTTTAAACAAAAGAACTCCTGTTCTTCCCTGGGGAAAGGAAGGTGGGGAGCAGAGATGCTCCAGTGGAGTGGAGGAGGCAGGTGCCTGGAGGTTGTATTCTGGGGTGCACTGGTAGCCTCAGGTTGTGGGGCTCCTTCCTCCCTGGGGTTCCAAAAGGTGAATCCTTGTATCCCCAGTTAAACAGCAGCCAGATTCATGTCCTTGCAAGGAGCTTCCATTGTGGCCCGGAAGGCCCTCGTGTTGCTGGCCTCTGCTGAAGCATCTGTCCGTCTCAGCCCTGATCACGCGCCTGCACAGCCCCCTTGTGTGCGTGAGTCAGAGCCTGGGCCTGGGGCCACCCGGGCCGGCGTCGAGTTCCTGGATAGTAAGAAAGCTTTCCTTAAGATAGTTTCGGAGCAGTAAGGAGGCTGAATTATTAGCTTCTAATGCAAACACCTATAAACATGTTTACCTGTTCTTCCTCAAAAATAGAATGGCTTCATGGACAGGGTCAGGATGCTAGGGCTTTCTTGGTTTGCACGAGTGGGTGAGATTTTGGTTCTCCTTACCTACTGGGAAAGCAAATCTTTTTTGACAGACTCTTATATTTTTGACACTTAGCAAGATATCAACCCCGTCAGATAATCCAGGCAAGTTTAATTTGCTCAGATTGGTGCAAAAATTGGGTTTTTTTACTTTCAGAATAGCTGAAATATATTCTTAAATGTCGTTTAACAGACTGCTCTTGCCAAGTTTTTCACTATTGTTTTAGTAAGTGTTTTTTCTTCTAAGTATATAAAACATATATTTGGAGTAATTCTGTATTTCATTATCTAAAAAGCCAATTTATTGACCTTCATTCTTTTTTTTGAATTGGCATAGCCTGTCATATATATGCATGTATGTGTGTGTATGTATCTATACACACATGTACACACAGCCCAAGGAGAATGTGAAGACACGGAAGCATTGTGAGTTTCGGTACCAGTATACTTCATGTGTTTTTTATGTAGGTGTCCTATTTCTGTGGAAGGTGATTGCGTAAAAACGGTGCCGAAAATAAGTTGTTAGATGATGAGAAGACGTTCTCCTCCTTTTCTCTCCAAGGCCCTTTGAATGCAGCATCCACTTCCTTGAGGCTTTGATCATCTTCGAGCGGCAAGTCCAGTATTCTGCCAGCCCACTCTCCCTTCCCCGACGTGAGGGCAGAGACTCCCGCAGAATTCTCAGCAAGTTCTCTTTTGATGCTTTATTTCACAATACCCAGCAGGTTTCCTTGTGTACTTGGAGGCCTTTGGAACCAAACCCAGAGGAAAGCATGCATCGGGGCCGCAAGGACCTCCTATAAACAGAGCCGCTAAGTGCCCATCTCGGTGGCTGCTGCTCCCATTAGCCAGTGTTTATGAACGCAGTGACAGTGTGGTGGCCAGTGCTGCACTCAGAGGGAGCTCTGTCGACAGGCGCTGGCAGGTCTGACGGTCCCAAATGCCTCCTAACTTCTTACTCCGGTGCAGGAGGCTGGGTTCTGACAAAGAGCACAGGTCACGCCTTGGCTCATTCTCTGGGGCCTTAAGAGACCCTTCTTTCTCTAGGTGAGTTTGATCTCCAGTTATTGATGTCCTCACAAGTAACAGAAGTAGGATGCTCACAATTAAACTGAAAAACAGTGACTTCCCCACCACGAGTCTTTGACAATGCCTCTCAATCAGCTCCGTATCTTAGCGTGGCTTTCCTCACTCTATACTTAATTTTCCAGGTCAAAATAATATTTTTTTGCAAATATCAAATAAGCAAAGCCTATGCTGCTTCAGAAGTGAAGGGCGCCATGTGAGACCTGTGCCAAATATTTTATAATTATAAAAATCTGACCTTAACGTATTCATCATGAAATAACAATCGCTATGAAAGAACGTTTTATTATAACATAGTGAAGCCTGAGAATGGAAAGTTTGCTGATCTTATCCTACCTTTGCAAATGTAGCTGATAATACAGATGTGTACAGGTAGAATTCTCTTGAAACTTTTGAGGCGTGGGTTTGGTTTTGCAGATGTCCTGGAGCAGATGCCAGGCTCCTCCCGAGCTCCATGAGCCCAGAACGTCCCTGCCCTAGCTAGGAATCAGCAAATGCCAAGTGTTTGTCACAGTGGTGCCACTTCCCATGCTTCCTGAGGCAGTTCTGTGAAGGGAATCTGAGGGGAACCTGCAGCATTCCTGCCACATCGAGGGTGGAGGGTACATGCTGACCCCAGTGTGGGAAGAAGCTGCTTTTGTGCACCTGTGTGTTCAGCATCAGATCATCAGTATGTGGCGTCAGCCAGCTTTGTTTCTGCAGACTCTGTGGAATCTTCTAGATA